TATTAAAAATATGTATGGTTGAAAAACTTGTTTTTAGCATGGGGTGTCGGCTTAGGAATTATTACCATATCCGCATTCGCGGCGCCGTTAGCAATTATGCTGGTACCTTTATTAAAAAAATCTGTTTATGAAAAAATGATGATATTCTTAGTCGCTCTCGGAATTGGAGCATTGTCCGGCTCTATAATGTTTATTATGCTACCTCAAGTAAGTTGCTATTTTATGTCAACGTTTGGACAGCCCTGGCATTGAATAATAAAGATGTTGGCGGATCAGATTAGCGCGGATTTGTTTTTAGTTTTCAAAACAAACTCCGACTTATAGAATTCTGCATTCTATTTTAAAAAGAGTTTAAATGACGTGTTTCAAGTAGCTTTTTATGGCGTTGACAGTTATTTTGCTTATCAACTTTTAGGCTTTTGGTGTGTCGAGCCTGAAATCGTCAGACTATTTGCTGAAGTCGTGGATTGTACTTGGGGCGTTATATGGATTTTTTGCTGTTGATAGGATACTTCAATGTGTTATAGAGGCCAAAAGAGTGGGGCTATAAATTTTTGAATAAACAAATAAATAGAAAGAAAAAAGTTACCTAAACTTTTTCTACTAATTAAAATTAAATTTTTTTCTATATTCTAGCGAGTAAAGTGGCATCTGAGGCGTGACAAAATAGATTGTGGTGCAGCCAAATATAACCCCTACTGTTCAGAAAACGTTATTTTCAATGCGGAGCATAGTAGAGAATTAGAACATGAAATTGATGAAATTCAGGTAGCGTATCTACATTCTCCTATGATACCTTTTTTAAACATGTTGCTTTTGACAAAAGGACGTTAAGTATATAAAGTGTTTAAATATTATTTGTTTTGTCTGCTAATTATAAAAAAATTTATGCACTTTTAAGAGCATCAAATTGCTTTTTTATATTTATTTGCTTTGATTTATTAAGATCCCTTTTAGGCAGACATGGAAACTTCTGTGGTTAACAACGCAATAACCAGAACTGTAAGTTTCAAGCTGCTTATAATAGCTAGTATAACTATACACTAAAGAAGAGGGATAAAATTTCTGAAGTAATCAAAAGTTTTGACAAAGTGCTGAAAATAATTTTATAATTTCATTGTTTCTATGCCTGTATTGCACATTTCAGCTTTCGAGTCGTCGCCGAGTACCATTTGTGATCACGCCAAACGAAACAAATAATAATCACTCGCAAACTTTCGAACTCTCAACTATAGACGCTATATATCCTCCAAAAAGTCACAATACTCTTCAAGTTCCTCAAATGGTACAAATTTCATTTCTACACCTCTATATGCTTTTAATATTAAGCAGAGTTGGAAATCTGATGGTTAAAATTGTGTACATTTGAACGACAGATTTGAAGCACAACAATTATTTAATAGTGTTAGGAGATTCAAGAAGATCGAATTAGCGTATCAGTTTCGGTTGTTGAAAAAATTGAAGTACCCCAAAACAAGGTAGGCGTTGCATCTGTTGCCTATATGATTATTATTGGTTCTGCTGCAAACAACTTCGTAGATGCAATGAGCAACGGCGTAGCTTTTGCTGATTCTCTGGTACGAGGCCTGAGCATTGGAATTGCTTGCATTGCACAACAGTTTCCTCAAGAAGTTGGTTCGTTCTCAACTGAATTTTAATTTTTTGAAGCTATCAATAAAATTCTTTTTGTTTACACATAAATCTTCTGTTGAAGGAACACTAGCAATTTTGGCACGAAGCGGCTTGGGTTTGAAGAAGACGTTACTGCTCAGTTTGATACCAGCAACATTGAGTTACATCGGTTTTGCTGTAGGAGCTGTTGCTGAAGATTTGAGTGAAAGCGCAGACAAGATTGTCTTTTCAGTTTCTTCCGGAATGTATTTGTATATATTTTTAGGAACACTGGTCAGTTGTTCAATGTTTTTTTGTAAAATTTTTTTATTTTACTGAATTATGTATGAATAGTTTATCTTTTAGAATGGTATTTCTGCATTATTTTTGGTATTTAGGTCATGCTTATATCGATCACTTTATTCCAAGACAAAACTTGGTTGATTTCAGATTCCAGAAGTTAGAGAGTCATTTAATGAGATCGTCAAAGGTGATGTAATAGAGAGCATCGTTACGACAGTTCTTCAAGCTTCTGGCGTTTTGATAGGTGTTTGCTTTCTTTACGTCATGGCGGTTTACGGGAAAGACATTAATTTATAGTTGAAGTTTTGAATATTATTAAAACTGTGCTGCATTGTCGTCTGTTTTTAAGCATACTTATTATTTTTTTCTAACACAAGGTGATCTCTGATATGATCTGGAACTTTTTCTTGTAGTTACACATTTTAAACATCACATATTAGAGAGATTTGTTACAGAGAATTCTATAGGTAATAATCGAAAAGTATGACTGTTTGGTACATATTGCTAGC